AAAAAAAGAAAATAAACCAAATCACAATATCAGTCATAGTCAGTGACCTACCATAATGCCGCCAATCAGGAGGTTGTTGTTGGATATGTTGTTGATGTGGCAACATCGGCATCATCATACTCCGAGATCGGTAATACACCTCTCGTTCACGTTCTCGAGCTAGATTCTGCTGATGATAGTAATTTAACGCATATTGCGCGTATGGCGAAGCATTCGGTGACATCTTCATGGAGCTCGGCGATGCAGCGGATGCTGGATAACCTGGCTGTGGATATGTCGACGTGGACGGACAAGGCCCATTCGCCACTGGCCTCGCTTGTGGAACTGAAGCAGCCAGGTACCCATTACCTTGCTGGGGATTCTGAGGATACCAAGTGGCCGTGGCCATCGCTGTTCGTGCGCCCATCGGTACCGGTTGAGGCGACGGAGCAGCGAAGCTCGTCGACGGCAGCGAGCTGCTATAAGCAGCGGCTACCGGATAGCAGCCACCACTACCGCCGCCGCCGTAACAGTCGGCTCTCTTCGGAAGTGAAATGTTGATCTCTAGGCAGTTAGCGACTATCGCCGTGCACTCAGTCGTCCTAGAGCGTGTGTATTTGTTGCTAGTGGTGTATGTCACCTGAATATATCACCACATCGGTCAGAGATCACGGACGGGGAGATCCACGTGCACATAGTCTCGCGTACAGAAATAGAGACAGACAAAGAGTCAAAGAACATCGTGATGTTGATGACGATGACGACGTGATTATACTCTTTATTAGCGGAGGCACTGAGAGCGAAACACACAAAGTGGGTGTGGTGAACATGATGACGTATGCGAATGTAAGAACAAGATTTGATGTTCAATTCTGAGCACATACATGAACACGACCCGAAAACATCTACGCAACCGTGAGAACACCCACTCGCGAATTCGCAGCAACGCCCGAAGATGAAAGCGCGCCGAAAACTGAAAAGCGCAGCCAAAAATAGACATCAATAAATGGATGAAACAGCTGTTCGCGAGATGTGATAACTGCATCTGGAAAAACCCGCAAAGTAGTTACGGTTAGGTCGTCGAAAACGGGGCTGTCTGTTCCTTCGTAGGCACGAGCAACAGCAGCAGCGCCACCGGCCCCAGAGAGAGGAGGCGGTCTGAACAGCAGGTGCTGGATACGCAGGGCGAGAAAGACGAGACGAGAACGCCCAGCAACGTATAATCAGTTGTGGAGAGTGCGTACAGCCCAGAGGGGGTGAGAACGGGCACTGCTAGACGGCTACAGAAACCTCAGTAAGAGGCACTATTCCCGTCTATGACTTTCGACAACTATCGTCATTATGTGTAGGTCGCTTGGACGGACGACGATCTGCTTCATGTTTCTCTTTCATCTGGGTGCTGGCGCAGTGAGCTGTGATTTTCAAAGCTCGGTGCGCGTGTTCCTGCGATTGTTATCAAGTCTTCTTCTTGCTGCATTTCGCACTTTGCCAAAGTCGATGTCGTTCCTAGTTTAGTGATACCCGCGACGATCAATCTATCATTTTAGGACCTGCTCACGTCAAAAAAAACATCGGTTGCGCCATGCGCATCGACGTCCTCTCTTCGAGAACGAGAATCCAAGGCAACAGGTAATTGTCGCTTCTTTTCGATGCATCACTATCCAACGTCATCAATAGCTTTTCGTTCCCAAAGAAATTGCAAAATGACTAACCTATGCCCTCTATGACCAGAACGCTAATCGAGATCTTGCCTAGTTATGCCATAAAGTGATAC